TCCTCCTCCTCCTCCTCTTCCTTCTCCTTTTCCTCCTCCTCCTCATCATCATCATCACCATCATCATCATCGTCATCATCATCATCATCAGTCCAGGAACAAAGGCAATTCGAATTGAGTTATTTGGACGAGTGGAGGTGCCGCTAAGCGTATTGTAAATGGAGCCGAAAAAGAGCCTCGCTCTCGCTCGAAGATTTCTTCGTGGAGTCCGCCAGGCCCATTAAGGAATCCCTCCCCCTCCAACCCCCCCCCCAAAAAAAACAACCAAAAAAAACAAAAACACAAATCCTCATCAATATCATCCCCATCATCAGGGAGAGCCTTTATTGAGCATCTCGATCTTTCTTTCTTCTGGGATGCTTTGGGTCTCTTAGCCCAGTTTGGCTGTGTCAGGCAGGGTCGAAGAATGCCCACTAAATTATCCAAATTGTGTCTTTGGTGGCGTTAAATACCTTTATACAAACAGCTCAAATGATATGCTTTTGGTAAATGGTGCATCAATATCTTCAACCTAGTCTGCCGTAGAGGTGTCTGAAGGGCAATGGTAGGATCTTTAACCGTTGATCGCAGATGACGTGAGTTCGATTCGCGGGTGAGTAAGATTTTTCTCGAGTTTCTCCGGCTGGCTTTTGGAATACTGTGTCTCAGGCAGTGTAGGTTAGCTCTTACAGGCGAGGTACAAGTTGCCTCTTTCCTAAATGATTGAAATTGTGTCGATAGCGGCGTAAAATATTCATACTTTAAAAACAAAGTCTCTTGCTACTACAGCAAAAGCGCAGAGAAGGCCAGACAGTATTAAGAACCTTATTGGTAACATTTGTGTGTGACTGGGTCTTTATGTAAGTTTAAGCACATCATACGTGTGTATGCGTATGAAGAAAGGATATTATGTCTGTGAGTGTATGTGTGTGGGGGTGTGCGTGTGTCTGTGTGTGCGTGAGTGCGTGCGTGCATGTGTGTGTGTTTGTACGTGCTTGTGTGTGTGTATGTGTGTGTGTGTGTGTGTGTGTGTGTGTGTGTGTGTGTGTTTGTACGTGCTTGTGTGTGTATATGTGTGTGTGTGTGTGTGTGTGTGTGTGTATGTATGTGTGTGTTGAAATACCAAACCAATGTACCGATGCCTG